CCGTCTGAGCCAGGAAAGCTGAAATGCAGCCCCAGCAACACCAAGCACAGCACCCAAGGCTGGGTTTCTTGCTCAGAGACAAGAAATTCACAGCCTGCAGTTTAAAAATCACTTTTGGCTCCACACACTTAACCCAGAAAGCAGTTGATTAACATATCTTCCATGATATCGACATTATAAACTATATTCTTACAGAAACTAGGGAAAATAAAATGTCAGTAAAGTGGGAAGGAAAATAGGTTTATAGGACTGTGTCATATTCATCAACCCCATAAACGTACATGGTCTATTGCAAGCTGCACCATCTCATAGAACCACAGCAATAGTTTCTCAAATGGAAAAAATATTGCATTTAGCAGTAAGTGCAAGGGTTTTGCACTTCCCGTCAGAATTATAGCTCTGGTTTTACAATATTTTCTTTCCACTGGTCCTTAAGCTAGAAACCTTCTCCCAAAAGGTAGGCAAGCACACCTGCAGGCCTATCTACAACTCTACACACTATGTCTCACCCCCTGTATCTCTGGCTAGAACCCTGTTTTTGTATAGAGCAGAACAGGCGGATCTACTGAAATACACTGCCAAGGGGAGCAGAGGGCGAGCCAGGAGAGGTCTGCTGAACCACGTGGGTATCTCCTGGGCCGGGGGATCGAACTCACGCTGCAGTGGCTGTGGACAGCTTCAAAGGTTGTGTCTCAACCCCTTGCACCACCAGGGAGGCCCGAATGTTCAACATTTTAAAGACATGACATTTGGGTGTGGAGAGCAATTCCAGCATTACTGGTGACACCTTGTCTAGTCCCATGGTGCTACAGAGGCTGACAGCACTGAACGGAACATGATGAGAAACTCAGAAGAGCCCAGAGAGAGCACTAATCAGTGCAACATGATAGGTACCACGTAGACCAAAAGCTATCATGGACATGAATAGCAACAGGAACAGCTATATACTCACTGCATAAACTTGGAGAAAAGAATGAACTGGATAATGATTTAAGCTGCATGTTTGTTCACAGTGCTCTCAATTGAATGGTATATTGTGGTCTTCAGTTTTAATAATTTTAACATATAATAAAAGCTTTATGCCCATTTGATGACAGTAAATAGACTAAATAGACTACTGTATGTTTTATTCACTGATTATATATTTAAGTTTCCCTTAAAACATTTTGGACATCATAGGGTACAATGTTGGTGAGTCATAAAAAGACACAAATGTCCAAATTTTTAAAATCTGTACAATGAAAACATCAGCGTGTAAATGGACCCGCACAGCTGAAACCTACATTAGTCACAGGTCAAGTGTAGTTCCTTACAAAACCAAACCACAGCTTGAGAGGGAAAAAAAGGGGCAGGGGACAGAGAGCACAATGACACATTAAGGAGCAATTCCCAGCACTACTGCACCTTACCCAAGGAACTCACATAGGCCCGCCCAAGTCAAAGTTCCTAGGACCACTCAGCACTAAGTGCCTCCCACCCACCTTCTCCCTTGAATGGACGGTCTGTTCACCTCTTACCTCTGTGCTGTTACCCTCAAAGGTCAGGAGACAGTAAAATTCACATTCAGTTCAAAGTGTACTGATTCAGGGTGCACAGATTCACTAGAAACCTAAGCTGCGTCCAGTGAAGAGTGTGGAAGGATTTTCTAGGAGGAAAATGTGGTAGATGATAAGAGATGCTGAGTGTGTCAACAAGCTCCAACTATTTCCTGCTATCAGTAATCGGTTCCTCATTTGCTAGAAAGGAAGGAAATGGAACTCATTCTGTCCTCTGGCTCAAAGTCCATAATCATCAGTTCTCAGGAGTCTGAAAACTCCTTAAACAATTGTTCTCTTGACTGTTTCACAGTATAATTGCACTTGGTTCCATCTAAAGTGTTGGTCCAGTTCCCTGATTGTTTTAAAGATTTATTTATTTATGCATATAAGACCTGGGGTGCAGCCCAGAGGTGCGGGGGGGGCTAGAGGATTCACCAGAGACAGAGTGGTGAACAGAAGAGGCAGACTGACTGAAATAAACTGCTGAGGGGAGCAGTGGGCCAGACAGGAGAGGTCTGCTGCGCCATGTGGGTAGCTCCCTGGCTGGGGATCAAACTTGTGCTGCAATGGCTGCAGATAGCTTTATAAGTGCTGTGCTTCCAGGGAGGCCTGCGTTCCCTGTTCTTTATTTAGACAGCTCCAAATGGGATAGGGAAGAGTTCCTCTCCAGTGGCTCCCCAGCTTCACTGCAAAGCAAACTTCAGAAGGCAACTTTTCAAGAGAAAGCTTTCCTACACTCTTGACATTCATCGGGTTTCTCTTCAGAATGAATTCCCTGATGTTTACTGATCTGATATTTCCAGGAGAACATTTTCCTACACTCTTGACATTCATTGGATTTCTCTTCAGTGTGTATCATTTGATGTTTGCAGAGGCCTGACGTGTGGAAGAAAGCCTTCCTACACTCTTGACATTGCTAGGCTTTCCCCATTGTATGAATTCTCTGATGTACACTAAAGGCTGACTTCTGCCAGAAAGTTTTCTTACATGCTTTTACATTTATAACACTTCACTCTGTTTGAGATTGCAGATATAATGTGAGGACAGTCATCCATGAGAAACTTCATTCTTTATAGCCAAACAATTTCTCTGTAGTGAGAGGTGAGAGTTCTCTGATATCTTCTCTGTAAGGAAATCTGAGAGGTTTCTCCACATTCATAAGGTTGATCCTTTCTTGATAGTCAGGTTCAAACTCCAAATTCAGTTCCAAATTATTGGTTTTCCCGAAGCCATTTCTCACCTTAGTTTATGTTTTGCTCTTGGCAATTAGAACTTGCCACAGATGTCTGTCCTGATTTGGAAGGATGGCCATAATGGGGTACAGGTATCAAATCATAGTATAGACATCGAAAATGAGAGAAAAATGGTCATTTCTATAAATAACAGCTAAACATTTCCTGTGAATGTTGTTGTAAAGGCACAAAAATTTCTCTACTACAAGACAATTTAAACAGAACAACTGGAATTGATTTTCTGATTCATGCTTTCAATGCCTAACAAATTATGCAACATATTAAATTAACAGATTTTCTAATGCTAAACCAGGTTGACAAGAAAGTATTAAAACTAATTTCATATTGTTGTCTTCAATTCATAAATATTTGGTAAACATTCATTTAAATGTAGATGTCAAATTCAGACAGAAGCATTAAACTTAATATTTATTTAGCCTCTATACTTTATTTCTTACAATGACTCTATCCAGCTTCTGATGGTATGTTTTGAACACTCAAGCTTTCTAGATGTCATGGTTTTCCTGGAAAACCTACTGACTACAGGATCATTTTTCAGTCACTTTAAAAAAGAATATTGTTACAAACAAGGACTCTGCATCTCTATTTCTTTAGATTTATTATCTCTGCTCAAATAGGCTACACTCATCATGCCCATCTTTCAAGGGCATGAACTTCCTGACCTTTGTGTCAAATTTTTTTTTTTCAAATTTTAAAAATTCCATTAATATTTATTTCAGGAAGAATTGGGGTATAGGCCAAAGGTGTAGGGGGTGAGGATTCACCAAAGACAGAGGGGGAGCAGTACAAGTGTATTTTACTAAATACATTGCTGAGGGGAGAGTGGATGAGACAGAAGTGGTTGCTGTGCCACTTTAGCTCCCTGGCGGGAGGGGATCGAACTCACGCTGTTGCAGTGATAACACTGAGATTTAACCCTATGCCACCAGAGAGGTCCTCTGTTAATTGTTAATTAAATATTATAACACATTTCTCAGAACCATAATAGACAGAGCAAACTCTGCTTCATTATATCATCAGACTGATCAAAAATAAAAAGGTCTGCAATGCAGCCTGTGTCTATCCTCATTAAGCACTTTTTTTACGTCCTTCTGAGATCAACACTCCTGTTATCTTCACTCTACCCCTGGTACCTGTGTTTCTAACTGATTCATAGTATCTCAAATTTTTATCTAGTACTCTAGTTTTAACTGTATCATACTTAAGCTGGAATCCCATGCGTTCATTATTTTACTTTCTTTCTAATGTTAACCATACGAAAAGGTATAATTGCACAGTTCACACTCCTCTCCCAAGGTAAGCGCACCCAAGTCGAATCTCTTGGTTCCACAGTTTAGAAACCACATCTAAGGTTCCCAAGCCCATGTCACAGAACATCCCTTCTCATGCTGAGCAATTTGCTGGGTCCTCCTCAGTCTCACAATTTCTTCATGTTGGGTGGGTCATAAGGTTTGAACGTGAAACACTATTCACGTTCTAAATAATTCTCCAGTCAACCTCCTCTCATGGTATTAGTTTTGAGTTTTCACCTGGTAAATTACATCGTCAATAGCAATACACTACCTCTAGCCCAGACTGTAAATGAAACTATATACATACATCATGTCAGTGCAAAAGCACTCGTCTCAAACCTGAGCTCTGTAGGGAAAAGACTTCATCTCCATAATGATGCTTTTTGAGCACATTCTAAAATAACATCCCCCACTTTTTCTCTTTCATCCTGGTCATTCTCTGTGGCTTTACCTCTCTATGTAATGTATGTATTTATTACATTTTCTTTTCTCACAGAATATAACTTCAATAAAGCAAAGGCCATTTCTGAGATTACTGTTGGTATCCCCACTCACAGAAAATATACCATTGGCTAAAGCTTTCCATGAACATACTGAAAAAATAAACAAATGCCTGAACAAGGACCTAAAAGAAAACAGTCTGAGAATAAATGCATGGAGAGACACAGAAAATGTGACTAATACAGAATAATTGCCTGTAGTAGCAGGGATTGCAAAATGGTTAAGGCTAAGAATATTGACAACCATTAAAAGAGTAGGAGGAAATCTACAAGAGAGCAGCATTTGGAAACTGAATAAGGAATCACTTTGATACATACAAACTGTCCAATGTCTGACACTGGAAAAGCAGCTCATTGTGGCCAATATCTGCTGCTGTTTCCTCCTCCCAGCCTCCCTGAAAGCATACACTGACTGACCTGAGAAGTTCTGGTTTGGGGGATCTTCCACAGTCCATGGCTATACACTTTGCTCCAACCTGATGCTCACCACAGGATCGTTAACACAATGCCCTGTGATGAGAAACGGTATTGGTCTTTGAAAACGAACAAAAGCAGTGTTAAGAGCTGTGCAATGAAGGCCAATTTGATCCTTTCATTAAAAGGATAAACATGCACAATCTACTCTGCCTGCAATGTTCAGCTTCACCATCACTAAATCCCATAAGCAAGGGCACATTTGTCAGAGTAGGAAATAGTGCTTGCACTCGAGTGTTAGGTCTGGGCTTCCTCACCTAGTGATAATCAGGTGACTGCAGGTCTCCAGCATCACATCCAGGTACAGGGTCTTCTGTGCATCATTCAGGTCCTGCCACACCTCCCAGGTGACGTTCACAGCCACGTCCTCAAATGACACCATCCCCTTTGAGGGAACATTCCCCCTCACTTCAGGATCCTAAGCCTGGGTCAGAGAGCAGCAAGTGTAAACACACCGTTTTTTCTAGTGTTGGATTTGCACAGGATGCACCACCTTTAAATCCTACATTGTGATGTGAACAGAATTCTCAGTAGAAATAGCCTTACCTCTAGATTAACCCACTAGCTCCTAAAAGCACTTTTATAACTTACCTTATAAATTTGGAAGTGCCTTTGATGATAGCAACAAAAGGATGAATAAAATTTATGTCTTAAGGAGATTATAACCTGGTTGGCAGGTAGAATAAACACATACCTGGAAAACTGTGCGAAAGAGCTATGTGGAAAGCATGTTGAATTCAGACACAGGTACAAGAGAAGGAAAACCAACAGTTTGTATCATAGGATTGCACTGCACGGAAGACCCAAACACTTAGCTCTTTCTTGTAAAAAGAAAAACAAACTTGTCATCAGGATGAGACAACAGCAGGTGTCACCGCATAACAATATAAAAAGCACTTGCCATGGTAACTGAACTGCAGAGAGCACGCTGCCAGGCAGTGTCCCAGGCAGTGAGGTGAGATAGACAATAAGAGTACTCTAGAACTGAAGTCAGTCAGCTTTCACGAACTGTGGGACATCTGAGCTGAATTCACCAGTATAGAATGTTATGTGATCGTACTCTTCATAACATGAAAAGTATGTACAAATTTGTGCCAATATTTTATTCCTGCGAACTTAAATATCCAACTCAGAGTAAACAAAACCTACACCCCACCTAGAATGTTCAAACAATGAGGGGGCAATAAACAGAGGTAAGGGATATTCACCTGACAGTCATAAGAATAAAGAACAGGGCATTACTTCCTAAACAGAGGGGGAAAGGAGAGGAGAACTTGGTGGTTAAAGGTAGAAGGAAAGTTCTCCTCACATGCTGCCTACATAAACAGCTGGGAGATACTGGTGTTCCACACTAAATTGGACATGTGTTTTATAGATCAGGAACTCTAAGCCAAGGATAGAAATTTAGGGATCTCTGGAACATTACTGGTAGTTTTCATCATCATAGGGAATAACATGGCTCAACCAAAACATAAGGTATTGAGGGCTCTTTGGTGGTGCAAGGGGTAAGACACAACCTCTGAAGCTGTCCGCAGCCACTGCAGCACAAGTTTGATCCCCAGCTAGGGAGCTACCCACATGGCACAGCAGACCTCTCCTGACTCGCCCCCTGCTCCCCTCAGCAGAATATTTCAGTCAATCTGCCTGTTCTGCTCCCCATTCTGTTTCTGGTGAATCCTCTCTCTCTCTCTCTCTCTCTCTCTCTCTCTCTCTCTCTCTCTCTCTCTCTCTCTCACACACACACACACACACACACACCTGTACCTCTGAACTTGTATACATAAATAAATTAATCTTTTAAAAAAGGTATTGAAAGAGGAAAAAAATTGGATGACACTAATATTTCCTATTGGAAAAAGAAAAAAATAGACGATAGCAATGAAAGTCTTTTGGAAAAGATGACACTAGGCATGAGGAAACCTCAATCTTTAGAAATCTGTTAATATATTCCATTATCCCTTATTATGTATAGAAAATCCTAAGGATATACACACATGTATCTATTGAGTAGGGCCTTACAGAAATACTTTCCACTTCCAATAATGAAAAAAAGGATTCAGAGGATTTTTCCTTAACACAATTTTAATATCCTTGACACAGCCACAGGTGAAATCAACATTCACAGTGAGACAAGGAATAACAAAGATGCTCAGTTACCCTTATTCACAATGGGTTAGGATAACTGTACACAACAGGAAAAAAGAAAACGTAAGTTAAAAACGGTCATAACTAGCTATAATTCATCCTTTGAAAACTAAAGAAAATCATGATAAAGCTACTCTAAAAAGTAAAATTCAATGAGCAGACTATAAAAATAATATATACAAGTCTTCACATACACAGAAGCTCCTGTACAATACCAATGAGAGGATAAAACACCAAGTAAAACATGTCACAGAACCATGGACTGAGAATGAGCAGGAAAAAAATAAAACCTGAGGGATAAAAAAGAAATTAAACAGATGAACAGACACAACAACATCAACAGTAAGATGAGTCTGCACTGCAGTGACGGCAATTCTCCCAAGGCAACCAGGCTACCACAGTGCTATGAAAACAAAAATGCATTCTTATTCATAGGCTAACTGATTAAAATGTGAATGTGATAAATAAAACTATTAAGAAAGGTGAGAAGGTGGATGGCATATTTCTGTGCACAAAACCTCACTGTACCTCCCAGCATCAGGGGCTCAGGAAGCCATAAACAGATTGTATTACCATTTGGTCACCATCAGGGAGACTGGGAAGTCACGGGCCAGTCACGACAGGCTCCACGCGTAGCCTGCACGAGGCAGCGTCAGCTGAGAGCAGGTGTGGTAGGCCGTCAGACAGCCCTTCTCCTGTTACAGAGTCACAAGTGCAGGTGGATGAAGGACCCCAACCTCATCTTAATGAACCTTGACTGTCTCCTAAAGGACCATCTACAAACACAAGGGTGCTAGTGGACACAAATACACATGCACATGTGTACACATATGTACAGCAAGTGTGTATGGACACGTGAACAGTGCAGTTTATAGCCCTTGCTGTGAGGTCTTCCTGTACAAAAAGATACATCCTCCCCTCACGTAGCACTACTTCTATAGGAGTTTATAGTTCCTTTGTGACAGGTCTGTCAGGAACAGAGTACTCTGGCAGTGTTTCCATTTCAGTCCTTTGAAAACACCCTTCAACTGTCTCAGGTCTTAGCATTTCTGGGGGTTAGATATAGGGAACTCTCCATCTTGATGTATTTTCCTGAGTGATGTCTGTGATCCTGCAAGTACCAGACAAGACTTAAACTATCCACAGTATGAATAAGTATGTAGAGGAAAATACAAAAATAGTGTTTTAAGGGGCACTATTGGGAGAGTAACGGAACCTATAAAAATAACCAAATGAAAATGGGAGACTGTAAAGTATCACAATAATAAATGTGCTGATGGGCTAAACATCAGATAAAATGTAGCAAAAGAAAATCACTGAAGTTGATGGTAAACAGCAATTTTCTAATCTTTATGAAAAACAAAAATATGAGGGAGATAGATACTCAGAAATACTATAGAGGACACACAATCATGTAACTGGAGATCCAGAAGGAAAGGGAAAGAAGGTGCATAAAATATACATTCAGACACAACAGCTAAAACTTCCCTACATTCACAGACACAAGTTTACGATCTAATAAACTTAATGCCCAATAGTCATGTCAGAAAAAAGAAAACTAGTCCAGGGGGCCTCCCTGGTGGCGCAAAGGGTTAAGACTCAAACTATGAAGCTGCCGCAGCCTCTGCAGCACAAGTTCGATCACCAGCCTGCCAGGGAGCTACCCACATGGCGCAGCAGACCTCTCCTGACTCGCCCGCTGCTCTCCTAGGTCAATCTGCCTGTTCTGTTTCCCACTCTGTCTCTGGTGAATCCTCTTACCCCCGCACCTCTGGCCTGTACAAAATGTAATAAAAGAGATGTGATAATATTAAATGGCACAAAGGAAACGTGGACACCAGGGCTAACAAGAAGCAGGGTTACTGCACTGGTGCTGACTCAGTGGATTCATATTCCAAGGCTGAGCCCAGTATGTAGGAAGTCAGGGCCTTCTATACACTTTCAGTTTCTACAAGGTTCTGTGTGGGTTTGCATTGGCAACTATACATGATCAGATTTGATGTGGCTACATACTGAGAGGTGAGTCGTATAGTTGCATACCAAGGATCAGTAAAGGGTCGGTAAAGGGTCTGCAGTCATGGGACCCCCAGGTCCAACCTGCTTCATGGCAGTATATGATCTCAGATTCATATTAGGGACTAAGTTTCATACCAGGAACTGAGCAAAAGGTTGTTACTAAGGTCCCCAGGCTACATATCCCAGGTCACCATGCTTCAATGTGACTCCACTTCTACGAGGTTATCAGTTGTCAAATTCACAGAAGCTCAAGTAAAATGGTGGACTCAGGTCCTTAGAATACAATTCCATTGACAGTCATGCCAGAAACAATGAAATACCTGGGAACAAACTTAAGGAAGGAGGTGAAGGTCCTGTAGACTCAAAACTATAAAACTCTGTAAAAGGAAACAAAAGAGAAAGAAATAGAAAGACAACCTGTGCTCACTGGTTGGAAGAATTAACATCATTAAAATGGCTTTATCACCGAGAACAATTTTCAGAATTAACACAATGCCTACACAAATACAAATGACTTTTTTTTAAGGAAATAGAACAATTTTCAAATTTATATAGAAACACAGAAGGTGCCAAAAAATTTTGAAAGAAAATAAGAAAATATAAGTATCACACGTCCTGACATCAAAGTACATTAATATTTTGTGACCAGGGCCTCCCTGGTCATGCAGCAAGTTGAGCACAGCCCTGTGAAGCTGTCCTCAGCCTCTGCAGCACACATTCAATTCACGGCCAGGGAGATACCCACATGGTGCAGCAGACCTCTCCCGTCTCACCTGCTGCTCCCCTCAGTAGTGTTTTCGGACTGTCTGCCTGTTCTGCTCCCTGCTTTGTCTCAGGTGAATCCTCTCACCCTCCCGCACCTCTAGCCTGTACCCCAGTTCTTGTATAAATAAATAAATCTTTAAAAAAAGTAAAAGTGATAGAATACATAATTTTCTTATCAATGAAATCATGTCATTTTAATTCGTGAAATTCTGTGAATGGCACTGCTTGTATTTCTTAAACACATCATGGAATTGCGGAGTGTTGTTTCCTTGACAGCTTTTTTTTTTTTTAAACTCACTAAATTTTAATAAAGACACCATCCAATGAATGACAATATAATTAAGTTTGCTTTATATATCTTTTAGAGAGGGGACACCACATTTCTACTCAATTAGGAGAAACATTTTTATAGTCCAGAGCTCTTTGTTTTCTTTTTGCACAACTATCATGCCATGAATTCATAGGGAATAGGTTCTAGCAGCTCAGGCTCCTTCCCACTGGTTCACACAAAGTGTGCTTCTCTAGGTGGAGCAGGCTGGCGCTTCAGCTGAACCCAAGTACCCTTCCCTTTGGCTTCCTTTTTCTTCTGATCATTTTCTTTCACATGTTTCAGGAAGCTATCTCGGCTCTTAGAGTGCTTAATGTGCTCAATACGAACATTAATTCTCTTTGCAAGAATCTTGCCCTTTACTTGCTTGTTTACAACAATGCCAACTGCATGCTGGGTAACATTATAGACCCTTCCAGTTTTGCCATGGTAACATTTGTGAGGCATTCCTTTTTGAACAGTGCCCATCCCCTTGATGTCTACAATATCACCTTTCTTATAGATTCGCATGTATGTGGCCAAAGGAACAACTCCATGTTTTCTAAAAGGCCTAGAGAACATGTAGTGGGTCCCTCTTCTCTTTCCCTTTGTGTTAGTCATTTTGGTGACTTACTGGAAGATGGAGGTTCCAGCTGAAAGGCCCTTGACAGTTTTTGTTTCTTTTAACATTTGTGCTGAGATAGATTGTATTTTTTTTTTCTTTTCTGAAGGAATAAAGGGTGTTTAAAAAAATGCCTGTGTAATGTAATGGAAACTTACAAGACCGAAGCCTGATAATTTCCGCTTGCAAAAACCAACATCTCCAAAGATGAGAGCCTTCATTTTCCAAATCAAAGAAGAAACAGAGAACATAAAGAGATTTTCCAGATTAAACATGATGGTCTATGTACACTGCTTGGTAAATCTCTCCATCCCCCTTATTAGTGATAACTAGAAAATTATTCACTTGGCAGTGGAGGGAATGGGCAGAGTAGTCCTGAGCCAAGGGAACGGGGCTGATGTCAATGGAAAGGGACACGTGGGCACTGGGCGCCTGACAGACAGATGGACAGTGGCGCCCTGTGGTGGTGTTGGCAAAATAAATAAATGAATCCAAATGGAAGCACAAAAGATATCAGTATGGAATATTTAGGTATATAATCCAAACAAATACTATCCCTTATCTGTGGCTGAAGTGGGCTACACAATTGCAAATTTTCTTGATGTACTCAAATCCAAGTAAAAAATTCTCGAAAGCTTTCAGAAGGCTGACATTTTTCTTACTTGAAGCATGTGTGCATATTTTAGCATAAAATATACCTGACAGTTATTAACATATTTGGTTGCTAAACTTGCAAGAATTTAATTCTTCATTCAATTTGTAGGCACATCCTAGGTTTATTCTAGTGCTGCCACTGAGACC